AGAAGATAGTGAAGCTGGGGCAGAGTGAAAAAAAAGTTGGGCATTGTGTTGACAACATTTGAAGATGTAACATAACGGAAGATGTGAACAAGGGAAGCAGACAGGCAGCATGCCGGGCTGTGTGTGGAGTTCCCTATTGGGAAGTTGCTGTGCTTGCTCTTTGCTTCACCAAAAGTCTGTTCAAGCTAAATCAGGAGAGAGAGGAATATGAGGCGTGTTCCTGCAGACATGATTGTAGGAAGTTGGATCACATCAGTAATACATGGGGCTACTGATGGGCTGCATATGAATGCTTGTCAGAGAACTATGACAGAATAATCACTGCCAGTGCTGAAAAGTAGATGAATAGGCAAGGACTGCATGGGTTCATCCAGCAAATATGAGAGGAGGATGGGATCTTTCCTTTGTGCTTTTCTGGGCTGGGGGTTCTTTTTTGTTTCCAAACATCCAAGGACACACTCCCATGACCATTTCCTTTTTCCCTTTCAAGTTGTTTCCATTTTATAAGCCTCTCTAGGGAATTAATCATTTGGTTAGGATAAAGTATAGTGTTCTAGAAGCAGTGCGTACTCATATTCTGCAGAAGAATCTGTCTCTGGTTGGAAATGTGCCTGAGACTGACCAGCTGGACCCTCTCTTCTTTGCAACGGTCCTTGGCTCTCTGTCAATACCATTCTTAAATTGTTTTTTTTTATATCAGAGTTTTATTTTAACTGAATGGTGCTGGTGTCCAGCTTACTCCTGTCCTTATGAACCAAAAAACAAGCCAGCAATCATGATACTAATTGAAAATACTGGTAGTTAATTCTTTTCTTTTTTGACAAAAGAGAACCTGTACTCTGGTTCAGTTTAATGGGCAGTAAATTTTATTACTGTTTTGGAAAGCTTCATAAGTTTTCAAGTAGGATTTTAAATGCCTTATGCCACTGAAATTCAGCTGATATTGTGAAATCTGAAGGCCAGTAGAGTGTGCTGTTGATTTTCAGGTAAAAATTCTTTCTTGCTGTATTGCCCTTCAGATTTGTTTGAGATGTTTACTGTGGAGGGGTTCACTAAAAATTGCAAGATAATTTAGGAATTTTAGAGCTTTTAACAGATAGTGATGGTAAATGCAGACTCATATTATTTCAGGAACATTTTGCATATAATTTTTAGAATAGTTTGGGACTTGAATTAATAATAAAACATGAATAAGCAAATAATCTGATCTTTACATCAGCAGGAAAGCTGTATTAGTTAGTAGTTGAGCTGTATCTTTTTGCCATCCTTGAGTCTCATCTTACAAATGTGGAAGCTCACTATGGGAACAGGTCCTGTGCCATCAGTAAAGCAGCAAGACTTTGTTCCAGTTCAAAAATGAAATTAATTCAGAAATTTCCAGTGGCCTAAGTTATGTAGGTCAGACTAGGGGATCACAGTGCTCTCTTCTGGCTTGCTAAGATCAGAAGCAATTTTTTGTCAAATTGGATCCATGTTTTGGCTGTGCTTTCCAGAGTTGGGTAGAGTTGGGTAGCCTCACTCTAGGAGTTGACAAGACCTGGTAGATTATAATAGGGCATGTGCTAAAGACAGGAAAAGTACATTCAATTAAAAGAGAACAGGACATGTATATAGTATTCCTGGAGGGGGGGAAAAAAAAAAAAGAAGCAGGCTAACAAGTTGGTTTTATTGAATTTTCCGAGTTCTTAGGTTTCCAAGACCTAAGTCAGGAGTCTCAGATTTTAAAATTTCTTTTCAGCTTTGGTACTGAATAGCTTTTAAAAATGTTAATATTGTTCACCATTTTCACTTTGGATAACAAGCTTTGAAAGTTTTACTTTAGAGCTGTAAAGGCTGAGCAAAATGGAAGGAAAAAGTTACATGATGGATGAATGCCTTACACCAACTTTATTAGCAGAGAACAACATCATTAAGAGAGAAAATGAAGTAAAATTTGACCTGAAGAACAGGATGAGATGTCCTCCTCAAGTGTGTGCCTTTTTTGGGGGGGATGAAATACAGAAAAGATTTTGGGCATTAGTGATTCTGTGTTTTTGTTTTAGTACATCTTTCTGCAAAAGTTGATTGGCTTTTCCTCTGCTCTTCTTTTTGTTCTTGTGGAACTTGCTAGTCAAAAATGAAAAATCAAATTTTGAAGCTGCCTGTAAGCATGCACGTGAGCTCAGGGCTTGAAACTATGCATATATTAAAACCTAGCTTCAGCTCTCTACTGCTCCTTGTTACAGCAGAATGAAATAGGTGAATGCTAATATCCCCCCCCATTATTTCTCACTACACTTTCAATATATTTTGTCTTTCTGTTGAACTGATTCGACAAGGGCATATCTAGGTCTTTATTTTTTGCATGTGTGCGAAGAGTTGTATTCTCAGAAGTGTTTCTTGTTCCCAAAGGATATGGAGAGAAACAGTTCCTGTCTCGTGTGATGTAGTAAAATAAATTAGAAGATACTTCTTCAAGACTTATCGACATGAATTATAGCAACTAGGCACGTATAAGGAGTAGCAAGCAGTCTGTCTCTCTAGAGATTGCCTTGCAATAATGCATATCCCTGGTGCTAGATTCTATAACTTGGGTAACGTGGGTGGTCTCTTAAAAATATTGGCACAAAATCA